ATTTTTCTTTGAACATCTGGGAACCCCAAAAACATAGACAACCACAGAACTACCTAGAAAAACCAGAGAAAATCCTGGAAAAACCATCGAAAAAATGATGAAAGGCATGAGTAGATCTTACAATAAATTTTACAAAAACCTTTGAAAATCCTAGAAATCCAGCGGGAAACGTTGCAACATCTAGGAGAAACTAAGGGCACTGGCAGGGACCAGGCCGCGACCAGCCCGGGATTCGAGCCCGCACCATTTAGGGACCGTGCTTATTTTCCCGCGCGGGTGGAGAGGGTGCCCCAATCCCCAGTAAGAAGCAAACCAATACATTTGGAGAAATCTTGGACAATTCTTGGCTATTTTTCGTCACTCCAACAAGGCTCCGGAGGGGTAGGGGAGGTATAGCCTTAATCATAGCCTTAGCCTTAATCATCGCCTTGGCCTTAATCAGCAGTCGCGCCTGACCCCACGAGTGGGGTCGGTGGATTTGGCTTGTTTTGCGCCTGCGCATTAAACCTGGTAAGATTTTCTTCGCTTGTGCTTAGCGGCGGCGCGACTCCCTGATGTGAGGTTTTCCTGTTTCAAGGCTTTGAAAGCGGACCAATAACCAAAACCAGTCGTTCTTTCACGTGTGCCTTCGCCCCCAGACGTGGATTATCAGCAAGTTATTTTGCTGTTTTAGCGCCTGCGCATTGAAAATTGGTCGCGTCTCTGCCGTTCTGCTCAGAGGAGTCTAACCTGTTCTCAGCTCATTGGATGTCAAACATGGACCTACCTGCAAGTTACTGTCACCAAGTCATGCCACACATGATTATCTGAAACACGGTCCCTTTAGGGCTTCGGTTCCATCGTTGATTCAAAACAAACAGCTTGTGCTGAAATACAGGAGCACTGGTTTACAAACAACTGTGTCAGCATCAGGAATATATGTTATCTGAGGGCGGCCGTCAAAGTGGGCCATGGGCATTTGGCATATATTGGTTTGTTTTTTCCTCATTGGGTTGTCCGCTGCTTCTTGGTGTTGCATTCGATGTAACATCACAATTCGAAAGGCGAACAAAATCGGGAAAAGGAGGTATCGTTCCAAATCTCAACACTGTGGACACTGGCTGCAAAAGCCAATTTGTCGACAAATTGCTGTTGAGGATGAACAGTTGCAAGTAAAACTGACAGGATGGAAGTGCAGATGCACATTGAAAACCAGAAAGCTGAACATAATAGAATTTTTGCTGCCGATGATTTTGAAAGCCATTGGCACCCATGTTTTCAACTCACTTCACAAGCCTGTTTTTGACCATCAAGAAATAACGGGGCCGCATGATGCTTACGAGCTTGTGGGTATTGAGCGTGTTTTCTCAAAAAGGAAAGCTTTGCTTGCTGCCCTTTGCTTGAGAGAGTGGCCGGTTCACATTTGTTGCTCCAGTGCAGTCATTACATATCCAATCGTGTTCTGGGTTTGGGCATTTGTCACGCCTTGGATTCCTTTTGTGCTTTGTAGCCACCGCCAGTTCGGTTTCCCAAGGCCTGTGAACCAAGCTCTGAGAATGTTACGGTTGATTTTGCAAGTGCGGGAAACGTGCCTCTGGCAATGCAAATTTTCTTTGGTGATGGTGGCTTGGCTGTACCCAGTTCTTTTGCATCTTGATGACATCAGGGTCAACTCTTCAGTTTGTGAGCGTGTACCTCTGGAGGGTGTATTATCGCATCCTGCACCACCAGCACATGAGCCACCAAAAGGTGAAAAAAACGGTATGTCCTCTAAGCTATGGGTTGCGCATCCTTTCCACAACAAACTTCACATTATCACTGCCCCAGACCCAGCCACCACGGTCTATGCGGTGTTATCTACACGCATTCCAGTATTTTTACTAGACCAAAGCCAGCTCTTAGTCGATGGAACTTGCATGTCCATGCAAACGCTTGTGTCCAACATGCCTAAACATTCAATGTTCCGAGTGGTGGTTAATCCTCTGCGCGGCGGTGTCGCCGACATTCTCACTTTTGAAGAAGCGGAAAGGGCGTTGAGCGCGCACAGATTGCATTTCGAATCACATACGCAGTGGCAAAACATGCAGACATTTTGCCGCCTTCGCAGTAAGAGTCCCACAAGGGGGGATGCAGATATGTGGAAAAAGCTTGCCACCGCGTGGGCGCTTCCTAGGCAGAAGTTGGACGAAATGAAAGAACAGTGTTTGCAGAGGTTTTTGCGATTCGTCCGTGAACACATGGCTAAATTGACTTCCGCAAACGTAGTAACTCATAGGGAACACAACGTTGCTGCTGAGCAGCCTGTCCTGACGGAAGATCACCGCCAGCTGCAGCCTGCAAGTCAAAGCATGATTGAGCAAGACCGCTTTGCAGCAGCGCAGACATTGATGAACCAGAACCAAGCACATTTCCAAACGCATCCTCAACAGAAAAACTTGGAGGAGTTTTGTTACTTGTTTACCAAAAAGGCGGAAAGAGGCGATGTGAACAGCTGGCGAAAACTTGCGAGCAAATGGGCGCTACCACGAACCAATGTTTCAGACTGCAAAGAAGCGTGTTTGAACACATTTGTGAACATGGTAAATACCGCCTGTTTGACAACCTCGCCCACGGTAAGAAACGAACTAGCAAATGTCGAAGAAAGGAACCCCAAGCCAGGCTTGACTCAAGGTTTTTCCTTTCTAGTGCGGCCGGGCAATGTTTTTGATCACAAAATCATGGTGCCGAATGCTGTCGTGGAAGCACTTTTAACACTGGGTGTGGTCGAAAACACAATGACAGAAGGAATGAATGACAAGCATTACAGCTGGATTGCAGGTTTAGATACTTCGCAACAATGGTCTTTCCTTTTGCAGAACATGCCTTCTGGAAAGCAAAAGGAAAATCTGCAACGGATCTTCGAAAGCGCGACACAGCCGGTGGGGCAACACAATGCTTCGGGCAGTTCGTTTGGAGAACCTTCTACGGGGAGATCTGGCGCACACGTTAGAGCGCCTGCTGTTTCTGAGCCAGCTTGCACCGCAGAAGCAAAAACGATGGCAAACAAAAAGCGCACATCTTGCGAAGCTATGAAGCCACCTTCGAAAAAACAAAGGGCAGCAGGCACCGCGATGTCACAACAAAACGTGTTGGAACAACTCAAAGCAATGAAGCCGCCACACGAACAAGTTGTTGATCCAGTGGAGACCGATCCTCCTAACCCAGGCGTGTTTCCAAGCGGCGGCGTCTATCAGAACCAACAACGCAACAAATATTGGTGGCAAGCAAGTCTTTTTGCAAAGTTCCGATGCCTTTCTTCAAATGACCCTGCTGAAGCTCAACTGCGCAAACGTTGTTTTATTGCTGCCAACTCTTGTACCAAGCGCGGGTTGCCCCAAAAAATGCAACAGGACAAAGCTTGGTGGAAAGATGCTCATTTGAGCAACCGTATTTCCACCCTTAACAGTGCGCGAACAAGATTGGCGACAGAGTTTTTGCACTTCGAACTTAGTGCTTTTCTCATGGAAGCACCGTGTGCTCAAAACCAAGCTCTGTATGGTTCTTTGATTCCGACCAACCTGGCAGACCTAGGAAAACTTTTGAGAGAAGAGCGGCCAGAATGTTTGTTCGGATGCTGGCCAAGTGCATGCCCATTTTTGCGTCCCTCAGCTTCGCAGTTTTTTCGGCATTTGGCTTTAATTGAGCTCCAGGATCTTCACTATTGCGATTTGCCGTTGAATTTGTCCGAAGTCTTCAACTTGGTCATACAGAACCGCATGGGCCGAGCTCACCTAAATAAAAGTGAAAGTGTTACAGCGGCAAAGCAGGTAGTTACAAACAATTTGCTTGCATATTCGCATTCCACTTTCAATCTCCATGCAAATAGGCGCTTTCTATTTCCACATGTTGGCCCAGAAGACAGCGTGGAAAATCGCATTTCGACTTTGGTTACCGCAGCGTTTGAATTTTTACAAGAGCATTCTTTGCAGCCGGAAAACATCGACACCCTGCTACTTTGCAGCATTTGTGTGTATCGTTCGAAAATCGTGGCCGGCCTCTCTCGCATGAACAAAATATCTGCGTGGACGCCTTTTTTCCAAAAACGAAGGACATACATACCGGGAGATGCCATTTTTTGCAAAGACAAGTTGGCAGCGCACGCCTTACCAGCGCACATCACAGACTTACAGCCTGATTCGACCACGCCTTCAGCTGCCTTTGCCCCAGCGCCTGTGACATGCCAGTTGTGCCACGCATCACTTGTTAGCATGGATGCGCTCTGCAAGCATTGTGACGACAAACATGCTAACTTTGCAGAGTACCGCAAAAAGGTCTTTTTTAAGGCACAGCAAGCAAACTTTCAACCAATGCAACCTTGGGTCAAAAGAAGTCTGATTCAAAATTTTGCATTCTTTCAAAGATATGCCACGCCAGGACATCATAATGAATGGTTGGCAGGTACATTTGACCATGCTCAGCCACGATCTTTGCATGCTTGTGTGTTTTGCTGTGTTCGTGACTATCCCGAAAATAGATTCGAAGTCTTTTTGTTTCAAGAACCCACAGGCTCCATGTCATGGAAGCAGCATTTTTACAACCAGCAGAAAGAAACGAACGCGCGCGATCAAGGGTTGTTGCTGTTTACTGCTGACGGCAAGTTTTGTGTTGGGCCGGCAGAAAAAGTGAATGCGCTACTTGCAGTGGAAGCATACTCAAAGTTACAACCGCACATACCCTTGCAAGAACTCTACGCTTCAGCAGTTCGACATCCGGATCACGCAAATATGCATTGGCTTCTCCATTGCAGAAGGGTTCCAAAAATTCCTTGCCAAGCGTCGGGAAACGTGATGTGTGCAGGCGTTGGCAAAAAGGACGAAACTTGTTTTGCCTGCAAAACATGCCTGGAACATTTTTGTCAAGTTTCTGGCCCAACAATGGCACCGTTGGCTTTGTCTAACATGAATTGGTTAGGGCGTGAGCAACCCCTTTACCAAAAACTTACTTTGGGTACCAAATTGCTCCTCGGCAAAGGCCGTCCCGTCATGCGGCAGATTTTCTTAGGGCCTTCGACGGCCAAGGAGTCCTATAAAGGCTTGGTGGGCAACACCATTCTTCTAGCGCAGGCCGAAGCAAAGACTACACAGATCTTACCATCTTTGAACAAAGTCTTGGATCAATTGGTGATTGTTTTCACAAGAAGTGTCGAGGAAGTCAAAACCTGTAAGGCATTAACCGTCAACCGCGCAGAGTTTGTGGACTGCTTGCGCTTGAGAAAGAAACATTGCCCTGTGTTTTTTGACACCGATATTGATCAAGATGCCGTTCAGAAGCTGCCAGTCGAAGGGGTTCCAAACGAATTTATCGAACATGCCATACATCTTCCGGAATCAACATTTTTGCAGCGTATGCAAGGGCCGGGCGACCTGCCCGTGACAGCGCCTCCGTCCAATACCGATGGCAACATTGCTGAAGAGTCTGATGATGACCACGAGGTTGCGCAAGCTGATGATGAATCTGTCCATGACGATGCGCCGGCCTGCGCAGATGAAGGCCATGAGCGTGCCACTCGTGAATCTCAAAAAAGCCCTGAATTTATGATTGCCATTGATTACGAGCAAGACCCGAAACCGGCGCAACTTTTTCAAGCGATGCAAAAAAAATTGGAACATCTTCAAAAAGAAGTTGCAAAAGTTAAGACCAACCAAAGTGGTGCTTGGGAAAACGTTTCAGCCACTGTGCGACAAGTAGGTCAGCAAGAAACTTGTCAACGCCTTGTGATCGATTTACAAGACACGATGAGGAAACTATTGAAAGAAGCCAAAAATTTGGACGACGTGGCAGCAAGTTTGCTCCAGACCTCGGTGACTGCTGATTTTTTCGAAAAGGGTGGTCAAATACACATCGACGCTTTGGCAGTGCCAACAACGACAGTCTTGAGCTCCTTTGACCCCAGAAGCTTTCCAAGCTGCTTTGTCGAGTTTTACTATGGAGACGCAGTGCCTGGCCTCTCGGGACGCCCAAATTCCACAGTGACATACCAAAGCTTGTTTTCTGCACTGATGCAGCGCGAAGAGATGGAGTATTCTTGTTCTGATGATGTTGAGCCGTACCAAGCCCGTGCAGTTTCTCGTTTTGATTCACCAGAATTTGCTGCCCTTTTTGGAGACATTCTTCGGAAAATGAAAACACTGCAAGCAGTAAACGCGTCGTTTCAGAGGCAAGGCTTCGAGAAGGACTTGAAGACAATTGCTTCTTCGCAAACAACCGATTTTCTGGCCGCAGCTGCAGGAGAGATGTGCGGCAATAGCGTCGGACAAATAATACAAAATGCAGCAACGCCTCCAAAAGTTCGAGCAGCTCTGCGGCATATGTTGTTTTCAACCGCCACCGTGCCTTTGACAGAGGGGTACAAAGTACGGCTAAGGCATTTTGGGCAATCGCTGACTCATTGTTTCGGACCAACCACTGTGTTTTGCACACATAATTATGGTGACACCTACAACCCACTGATGCGTCAACTTTGTGAAAATCTTGGCCCTGAGTTTTTGAAAGACACGCCCGAGATGCCGCCTCTCCAAAAAATGCACGAACTGACTGCGGCTCATCCAGCTTGTACTGCAAAGTTTTTCTTGCTCATGGAAGAGCTAAATTTTAGACATATATATGGTCTTGATTCCATTGGTCTGGGCATCTACAAACTAGCCAGAGCCGTAGGCCAATCGAGTATCGAAGACGACTTTGCTTCTAGCAGTGTTCCTGGCGTTGCTGGATTTGCGTTGGCGATCCTTGAAGCTCTTGAAGCCCAAGGGCGAGGGTTTCAGCATGGACACCGTTTGGTCCGCGCAATTCCTGGGTTTCTTGCAAGCATGCAAATTCAAGATGGTGACTTGTCCCCGAAAAGTTTGCGTGCCAAAATGCTGCAGCACAACGCAAAGCTGATCTCCCAAGTCAACACATTGCAGTACGAGAAGTCGACCTTGGTGGGTGAACAAGCTGGCATCAAAATGAAGCCAGAACCATTCAGTGCTCTTCAGCAAAAACAAACAAAATTTGATGGCGGACTAGAAGCTGATGAGATCACTCAAAGATTGTTGTTGCCTGTTGTGGCGGCAGAACGCTTGAAGCACGTGGAGCGCGAAATCGCTGCAAGCGAGCAGCAGCAACGCCCACCAGCAAATTTCTTCAAAGAGGTGTCATTGACAGGTGCCGAATTGAGCACGCTGCCAGAATACAAGTTGCCTTGTATAATTCCACAGGCTGCAGCCTGGAAGGGCCCACTTTCATTTTCCGTAGATTGTGATGAGTCTGGCGTCATTACCAAGGTTGCTTGCCCTGATGGTGAAGATGCCTGTAACTTTGACACTTTTCTTGCAGAGGCCCATAGGTGGGAGCAACGCTTTGCTGAAGATTTTCGTTTCTTGCACATTGCCGCGCACAACCATGAGCGCAGTGTAACATGCTTGAAACACGTCAAAAAAACAGCGCAAGAAAAAAGGCAGCTCTTGAAGCCCAGCCGTGCGCCCGACTGTCGGTTTTCGTTTTATCACACAGTTAAAATTTCTGGAAGAACATTCCGCCGTCGCGGGAAAATGCCAGTGTCAGAGACGAATATACTGGATTCTGTGGATCCTAACGAAAGTGGCTTAGTTCAAGTGCAACGGGCTCATCCATTTCGTTCCGCAACCTCAGACGTGACAATGGTTTCCTGCCGCTGCAATTGCGACTTCAAATTTCTAATCCGAGGGTTTGTAGTTGATGAAGATGACAATAAGATAACACTTGTTTGTGATGATAGCTGCCTTGGGCATGTCATGGGCATGAGCCGCGCTAGCATGCACAAACATGATTCGCGTGAGCTGCGCTTGTTTGCTCGTAATGTCATTGCTTTGCACGTCGCATCTTTCAATACTGACCACTACATCACAAAATACAGCACAAAACCCATGGAGGCAATGCAGTCGGCAGTGGCTCAATTTGCTGTTGGCATCAGAAGATTGGAGGAGGAAGAAAGCAAAGCTGAGGTTTGGACACCCCAATACCGTGCCAAGCGGGTGATTGTCAGGCTTGCGGCGGCTGCGAACCGCAGCACCTGGGTATCTTCGACAGAGTTGGCGACCACCATTCTGTGCGCAGGTCACTGCTGGGCTACTCATGCTGAAGTTGTCCTCTTTCTTTCAAGACCTTGGTTTTTGATGCAACAATGCCGGCGTCTCTCAGAAAATACACCGAGCCCTCTTCTGCACGACAACTTCGTCCCCATTGCTGCAGTTGAATTGAATGCTTCAGACTCTGAAGACGGAGCTAGCTTGGCTGAGGACTCTGCAAAAGAAGATCCTGAAGAAACGGCTGTCGAGGATGAAGAACAGCAGGACGCGGAAAAAGACCGCAACCAACATTGGGACAAAACTGTATTACGCACCACCACAACATTGCATGACGACTATCTTCACCGAGGGCCATGGCTGGCTCCAATGCCCCTGTTTGTCTATGCTTCTCGAGTACGTCGTGTTCGCAAACCTCTGAAGCCCAAAGATCATGAAATCATGTTTGAATTTGACCCGCACTACCAAATGCACGCGTTGTATTGCCAATGTTTTGCTTTGCAGATCACCGTACCCCGAATTGTCGGCCCGAAGCCGCCATCGTTGGATGATGCAGAAGCTAATGCCGCATATTTTTCGATGTTGTTTTTGCCTATGAAGTGCCAGGGCCTTACCTGCTGCACAGACCCCCTAAACTGCCGCCCTGCTCTCACATGCGTAAAAATCGGCAAACAAAAATTTTCCTTCGTTGCAAACTGGAAGGCTAGAAGAGCTGCGATAAACTTGGTAGCAAATCGAGCCCAACAAAAAATAGCATCCGCCGAGAAAATCGCCGTACTTTTCGACACCACTGTTGCCAAAAGCTGGTGGAACGCAAGCCTCCCTGGAGGAGCGGATGACAGGCATGCCCAGTTGTTGCGCGCAACTTTGATGCAACTTTGCCGCACTTCTTTTTCGGAATTCCCGGGCTACGTGTTCCAAAACATGTGCGACATTTTGGGAGTGCAATCTGGAGCACATGTGCATCAACTGACGCTGGAAGAGTTTGCCGCAATCGAAAGCCAGCAAAACTACCAGAACTTTCTGTCACAGCAAATCGCACAAACCAAGCCTCTACGAAGCGCGCGCACAAAAAGTGGTCCGGTGCACGAGCAAGTGTCTGAAAGTGACGGCCAGCATTCTCCTGACCAAGGGCAAAATCCAGCGTTCGACGGAGATAGCTTCGATGAGGAGTTGCATTCGCAAACCAAAGTGTCTTTCACCTTGAGTGACTGCATACAAATTCTTTCACGTGAGCAGGAACTTGAACGAACAAAAAAACCTGGGAAGCACAGAGAAGGAGATCTTCACATCAAACAATTTGCAGATATCTACAAACATATGATGGTAGGACCTCCTGCTGATAGCAGCGAACTTCGACACAGAATACCCATTTTACCAACGCACTGCCTGCCACAAAACGCGAAATCGCACCAGGCAGCTGTAGCAAAACTTCTCCGCAAAGAAATGCTTCAGTCCGATGCCACGACAAGTTGCCCAGCATCGGAGAACCTTACGCCTGAAATGGCTGCGCAACAGCTGGAAGAGCTTTTTGACAGGAACGCCAACCGCGACGAGGCACAAGTCACAGAAATTGACGTTCCTTTAGCGTGGAAAGGTCCTGCAGCGTATGCCAAATCTCTCATTGATAAGTTTCCTTTCAACCAGGAGCAGCTGGACTTGTTGGCCCTTCTAGTGAATCCACTTGAAGTTGCGTGGCGAAACCGAGAAGATACATCTGTGTACACCTTGCCGGTCGACCTAGGTCTGGTTCGTGTTCTCCTTGTCGGCGGCGGGGGCTGTGGAAAAACCACTGTAATTGTCCAGGTCTTAGAACCGTTGCTGAATGTTTATTTTGGGGCTCACAATGTGCAGCTCGCGGCTCCCTCCAACAAGGCTGCCAGAATTATCGGCGGTAAGACAATACATAACCTAATTGGTGTCCGTGCCAACGATAGCTTAAAGTCTTACCACTTGTGTGTCCGACGGCGCGCAGACAGAAAAAAACTTCAAAACACCCTGGGGCGGGCGGGGGCTGTGATCATAGACGAGTGGTCACAGGTTCCAACAACTTTATTTCACGCTGCTTCCTTGCGGGCCACATCGATCCGAGCTGATCAATTCCAATTAGATTTGGCACGGTACGCGCAGCCGACACAGCTCTTTGGCCGTGTCTCGTTCATGCTTCTCTCAGGCGATCATTTACAACTTCCACCTGTCCCAAAAACTTCTTCATTACTTGCGACGCCAGATGTTGGAGGACATGAACACAAAGCTGCTTTGGCTATGTTCGCGCGAATCCCACAAGTCTTTGTCCTTCAAACAGCAATGAGATTTGAGGACGAAATCCAAAAAAACATTTTGCGCAAAATGCGGGTGCCCGGCGGTGCGCGCCTGACAGATCAAGAGTGGAGCCACTTGTCGGAGACTAGGCTAGAAGACAAAGCTGCTTTCCAGTCCCCAGAAGCTTTGGTGCAAGCCACCGGCGACTGGTATGAGAGTTGTTACCTGTGGTCTATCACTACCTTGATTGCCTTTATTAAAGCACGGCACTCGGCCCGCGAAGCCAATCAAACTCTATTTTTCGTTCCTGCAGCAGATTGGCCTGACCAAGCCTGTGAGCCCCATCATCTCAAGCATTTGCTTGGTGTTTCGAACGTGTCCACCACAAAAAAACTGCCAGGCGTAAACTTATTGCACTTTGGGCAAAAAGTACGGCTGACTACGTCGGTTTTACCCCCCTGGGCTGTTCAGGATACCGTTGCAACAATTGTCGACATTGCTTTTGCTGAGCGCCTCCCAGCAAAATTACCCCCAGAATACTATTTAAAAAAACGCCCAACCGCAGTTTATGTAAAACTCGAAGGAGTGGATTTGGAATTCTTGCCGCCCAAACCTTGCGCGGAGCATTTGATTTTCAACCGACACTGCGACCAGTGTGTGTCATATCCTGGAGTCATTCAAGCGCTTTCAAAAACGCAAACGTGGTCTTACACCTTGCCAGACGAGAAAATTTCATTGAAGATCAAGCGGACGGCATTCCCACTCTGGCCAGAGAAGGCCTGCAGCCTATACACGATGCAAGGAACGACAGCGTCCCCCGGATTAGTGGCGCACATGACTTTGCCTGCCAGATCACCGGCAGACATCAAATTCTTGGCTGTCTACGTGATGCTTTCACGCCCTCGCTCCTTCAAGAACTTGTTGACGCTGGGGCTCAACGACAAAATCCGAAACATCATCGAAAGCGGACCTCCTGAAGAACTCTTGGAAACCTTCGCAACCTTGTTTGGGTCCAAAGCTGACGAGACACGCGAAGCAGCCCGGGAGGCGGCTGAACATTTGGGGTGGCAAGCTGGAGGCTGATTGAGGTTTCTTAAAAAAACTCCTTTCGCACAAGCTTCAGCTATGTGCCTTTTGAACGTTCGCAAACGTGCTTGTGGTATTCGCACGGACAAAGGAGAAACATCCATGCCATGAAGGTGCCAGACTTTTGACTTCGAGAGCGCCAGAGCGGTGAAAAAGTAGCGCTCAAAGGCCTTGCTCTTGGGGAAAATGCTTCCAACGTTTCGTTGTAACGTACCAAAACTGTCAGATTCGTGTGAAATACCGTAGAAACGTGACGTTTTGAAGTGTGAGGGAGTGTCACAGGTGATTTCGCTGCGCACCTGCCCATTTTGGGGGGTTGGCGTTCTTCCAAGAGTGTGAGACACCCGTGTCGGTCAAGAGTGTCAAGGAGAATGGCTTCTTCTAAGAGTATCAAAAGAGTCTCAAAAGTTTCCTCATAATGTCTTGTAAATCAGAGTGTCCTCAAAGAGAGAGTGTCTTCTATGTCTTACCAGAGTGTCTTTCAAGAGCGTCTCTTCCGGAAACGAAAAAAGTGCGAGTCTAGTCGACCTGAACCTGGGGATATGACCAGCGCTGGCTACCTTGCAACACACTTGCCCCAAAGTTTTCAAATTAGCAGAACAGGTGGGTAGAACTTCAAGCTCCTCACCTCCGTTTCACCTTCTCACCCTGTACACCAGCGTTGCGCGTGGACAGAGAAAAAAGCAAAAACTAGACAAGGTTTACCATGGATCCAGAGGCGGAATCTTCGAAGAATACATGGACAAGGTGATCAAAATGAGGGCGCAGTGCCATTTTGAGACGTCGAGGAAAATGCAGGAAACTCTTGGGGAACGCGCCCCTGTGCAAAACCTGTGTTTGGTTTTGGCAAGGGGGCGCGCAAATGTTTTTGAGGTGTGAATACATGGCTCAAGCATGGCGTGGCCGCACAGCGTTCAAGGATATAGAGCTGAAATGCTCGCCAATTTCTACGTAAAAACATTATCCAGAAGAGCGCCAGACAATGGACCCAGAATCCAGACCAGGAGCTGGCCTCAATCTTCTTTTTATGCTTTTCCCAAAAGCATCTTCGACGCTTGGGTTCTCGTTTAGTCGCTAGTGCCGCGGAAGAGCGAGACAAAGCGTGCGTTGTCGGCGACGGAAGATGGATGTGGAGGAGGACGGGGCCGGGGAGGGAAGATGGAGGGGAGCGAGACGGGAGGTGCATGGGTGGGGACGGGGCTGGGGAGGGAAGATGGAGGGGAGCGAGACGGGAGGCGCACGGGGCTGGGGACGGAAGATGGAGGGGAGCGAGACGGGAGGTGCATGGGCGGGGACGGGGCTGGGGAGGGAAGATGGAGGGGAGCAAGACGGGGGGCTGGCAGAGAAGATGGCGCATGGGACGGGGCTGGGGAGGGAAGATGGGTGCACAAGTAGAACGAAGCATGGGTGGGGGTAGTGCTGCTCCATGCTTCGCGGAAGCCTGTTGGGAGGTGAGTGGAGCTGCGTTGCGGGGCTGATACGATGGTGTTGGGTGTCCAAAATGTGCACAATGCACGCGCCAGATAGTCAAGTCATGGCCAACTCGGCAGGATTGTTGCGTGCCAAAAGCGCAACGCATAAAATTGGATGGTTGGAACGAACCATGGAGGGGGCTGATGCTGCTCCATGCTTCCTGGAACGGTTGTCAGAAGCCATGTTCCAATCGTTTTATGACCGTTTTGGAGGGCTTTCAAAACTGACCAAGGGGCGGACGGGGGTGTATATGGCAGACAATAAATTCAACGAATTCAGCGAAGCAGGACTGCACTGCATCCCTTGAATTGATTTGCGGACTTCATTCGCGAAGCGCCGCAAGAAACCTGTGCCATTTGCGATTTTGCCAGGACCCCGCAGGGGATCCTTAGATTTGGCTGTAAGGCTGTGCGATTCAAACCGCCGTGCGATTTAAGAGAGAAGAAGCGCTTTGACGATCCTGTTGCGGAGAGGTAACGCCCGACAACCCCAGAAAAAGTTAGGATTCTTTCAAGATGGCGGGGGAGTTTCCTTGAAGAACCCTTCGCATTGATTTGGTTCGACTTTTGTTGAAACGATATCAATTTATATACACATCAATTTACCAAGCAGCTTGCGCATGGTCATGGGGACTACTCAAACTGCAGGCATGCAAGACTTGGCGAGAGCACGAAGGTGAGTGCCTTCATCCTTCAAGTACTTCATTTGCATTTGTGTTTTGTACTTGGAATGTGAATTAGAATCGCAGGAATTTATTCCTTGTGATTTCTGAGTGCAATTCCTCTCAAAGTCATGTGTCATCAGGTGAGCCGAACACTATTTGCCGACGAACTTGCAGGCCGAGCGACGAGAGAGAGAGAGAGAGAGTCGAGTAGTCGCTTGCAAGAGCACTTCTTCCGTATGCACAGTGCCAGCACGTGTCAGTGAATTGAGAGTGTTTGAGGTGATACGGGCTGAGACAGATGCTATGCCAGGTACCCATGAAAGCTTGAGTCTTGAGACAAACGCGAGAGTCTTGAGACAAATGAGCCACGCCGATAAACCTATCAGTTCTAAATCTGAAAGCAGCGCAACAGAGTAATTCTAATGTATGCGCTGTGCGCTTGCTTCTGATTTTGCTAGGCCGAATGTACTGTAGATTATTTATTTTATGACTTTTTGATATTGTACTTGCTGGCTCAAACTCAGTTTGGATGCTTGCTCAGACTTCAAGAGCCTCTTCGGCGGGATTGGGGTTTGCAAAAAGTACTCGTGTCAGGAAGCAGTGGAGCTGAGTGGAGCTGAGAGCGAGTTTGCTGCAATCAGCGGCACTGCGGCGCATGAGTTGCATACAGCCAACACTTCCACAACAAAGTGCCGACATGCAAAAAAATCATGTTTGTCACGGATGTTGCTATGGCAATGTCAATTCTAGTGCCCGGTCGACGTCGAGAGTTTTTTAATCAGGTTTGATCTGTCTCCTGCTGGTTGCCAGCATCAGACAGGGTTCCCATTCACGTGGCCCCCACCTAGGGTGTGCCAAGCGCTTGGGTTTGCCAGGCAGTGGGTGGGTCACACAATGGGTGTGCCATATTGGGGAAGTGGCCGCGAGATGCAAAAAGGAGCTTATATGTGTATTTTGACAATGACGCAAAGTTATCAACGAATTCAACGAATTCTGTCTGTTTTTAATCAACGAATTCAACGGACAATAAATGCGAAAAACTGTTTGGGGTCTACGCTGGTGTAATTCCGTGCATGGCCACTGGGCTAAGCCGAGAACCCAGCTAGTTTCTACCCTTAGTAAAGGGCTAGTGAGTTCCGCAGACATGCACGTTACGCCGTCACCCTGTCAGTCCGTTTTCGCCTTGAGCTTTTGGCCTTCTTTCCTCTTGAAGTCCTCCAGGTTCCCGTGGTTCGTACTGGTACCCTTAGGAAATGGAACCCTAGGCCGGCGTGTGGCACCGCTTTCAGTTCAGTACACCCTATCCTAAGTGTGTCAACCGTGATGGGAAACGTGTATTGCCAGCGGTTGACAAGGCTCTGAACAGCTTGGATCAGGCGATCTTGGGGGACGGAATTGAAGAAGCCGACCAAATCATCGTTGACGGCATAGAGATCCATGGAGACGGGTGTGTGCTGAAGGTAGTCATGGAAATGGTGCCAAAGTTGGGGAGTGGAAAGTTGTCTTGGTGATTGCGGTAGGAGGCGATATATCATAGTGTTGAGGACGTTGGAGGTGACACGTAGAAGTGGGCCGTAGCAGGATTTGAAGTATGATATGATGGCGCGACCTTTGCGCCATTGTTTCTTGGCTTTCAAGTGGACAACTCCATATGGCATTTTGAACTTGGTGTTGAAGCCCCATTTGTATTTCTGGCGAAGGTGTGGAGGAAAAGTCTGTTGGATGATGGCGGAAATGGTCTGGTCTGTATCGTCTGGTAATGGTTGGAAGAGTTCTGGTGAGTGCCAGGTGGCTAAGCATCCACGGAAATAGATGCGTGGGCAGAAGATCCGGAGATGTTGTAGTTCATGATCAGCATGATGAAGGACAACTTTGTCGCCTAAGAACTCTTGCAGCTGCTTGACGGATCTGGCAGTGAAGCGGTCCTCGCGCTGAAGTTGAAGGTTGTGGTGTTTCCATTGGGCGGCGATGAACGCGTCGAAGTGGTGGGCCAAAGTGGTAGGGAGTCCATGATATCGAAGCCATTTGTGCAAGCTTTTGTGGGCGGAGTCAAAATAGTGTTGTTTGGTGGGGAAGAAGGCGCTGTTCATGTTGGCGTTCAAAAATCGGCGGAGGTGAACCGAAGTTGTAGATCGGCGAGGGTCACGATCAAGTGGTCGTCATCGGGAAAATGGGAAGTGGGCAGCAGTAGGGTGCGAAGATGGGCGCACCCACACGGGAGCTGATCAATGTCCGGGGGACTGCTCAATAGCGTTTCCCATCGCCGGTGGTTGTGTAGGCGACTGCGGAGGGTGAGGTGGGCCGCTTCACGCACGCGGCATGTGGGGAGGTGGAGGGGAATGGCAAAATGTTTGTGATGGTTGATAAGCTGGGCCAGCCAGCGCTGGACGTCGGATTGGAAATTGGGGTGGGCAAGGAACGGGATGGTCAGAGGGAGATTGCTCTTCGGTGGGGTGAGATTGCGAAAAGTCAATGCTTGGTTGAGAATGTGGATAGCTCGGCTTCGTCCTGGTTCTTCCAGGCTGGTGGCCATACGACGGATGGCGTAGACTTCGAGATCTGTGTACTTGCCCGAACGAAGGTGTCGAGCGGCGTCGAAAGACGCTCGTGTGTGTTTGGTCAGGTCTCGCAGGACGGTAAGGGCGTGTAGTTTGTGTGATGTATGAAGTAAAGGCTGGGCTGTGGATTGTAGTCGTCGTCGTAGTCGTCGAAAGAGGCGGTAGTGGTTGGCTAGGCGTGGAAAGAAATGTGCTCGATGCCTGCTGAATTGCCAGCCGTCTGCTTTAAGTTTGAGGTGCTGTGAGATGTAGGGCCAGTTGAGTGTAGGTTGCCATCGGGAGATGTACAAATGTTCATGGAT